TTCTTAAGGTGAAGGTTGGTGATAAGGAACTAGATGTTATGAATGGCTTCAGACTTTACATTACTACAAAACTGCCAAATCCAGGTTACTCTCCTGAAATTAGTGCTCGAACCTCCATCATTGACTTTACTGTGACCATGAAAGGTCTCGAAAACCAACTCTTAGGCAGAGTCATTCTCACAGAGAAACAGGTAAAAGAATTAATTGTGTCTTTTTCTTGGCTGTACATCTTTACATTTACCTGTAGAAAGTTTTACTTCATTTTAATTTATTACTCTCTATTCCCATATTGCAGGGTAACTTTCTGGCTTTCTATATTGTGATTATTTTTAATATAACCTATTTACGAAGATTTAAAAGCTGGCACAGAAGAAATTGACTCATTGAAGTGAAAGTTTCTATTTGTCTTTATTATTGCAACTGTATGATACTCAACTTATTTTTCCTGACTCAAGGAGTTATAACCTCATGAGAATGGCCTGTGAAAAGAAGAAATGCCTGAAATAAAAACTGATACTCTATCTATACACTGTGGAGCTCATGGCAACATAACCTGGTGCAAAGGATTCAGACTTAGTTGCTTCCTTGCTCCAAGGGGAAACAGGCTAACTACCTATTTTGACATTGCAAATGTATTAGATGAGGAAGTCCAAGTTCAGGATGACAATACCCATAAACATGCCACCAGCAGTTCTGGAGGGAGGCTGGTTGTTGTCTTTCAAACTACTGAATACCTAATGCCTCTCACTATAAGGTCAGGCAATGTTGAAGTCCAATGAGACATTACACGTCTATGACTGTGTGTTTACTAAGATTTTGTCAATAGTTCTCATTTACCTTCACTAGAGAGGAATCCGTTTGTTCCCTTATTGTGGCATCTGTTGAGGTCCTCTTGTCCTCCTCTCCATTTCCCCCCAGTGTAAGACAGTCCTCCTTAATGGCCTCAGTCATCTTGTTAATGTCAAGTGGTTGAATTTCACTCCTGATCACTCTGTGGATCTCATGAGAGAAATCGTAGTCACTCTATGAAGACTTGTATTTTGTCAGACAGCTTCATTGCACGATCAGCTTCACTTCAACTAGCGACATCTTGTCAACTAACTACGTAACGGAATTATCACTGTCTGTCTGAAACACACTGTGATATATATATTCACAAAGTCTTATGCCAAACTTCACTTCTGGGCCCTGCAATACAGTTCGTTCCTCAAGGTGATAGTCATTTTATCAGCAAATTCCTCCAGTCATCGCAATTGCTGTATGCCTGCTTTGAGGACACAGAAAAGATAGGAACTTAATTTTTCTCAGAGGTGCAAAGCAATAGACTGAGAAATAATAAACTCAAGTGGAAACATGGGGAATTCTGATTAGATATTAGGAAAAAAATAATGACATTGAAAGTGGTCAAAACCAGGAGCGGGTTAGCTGGGGATATTGTGGAATCTCCATTCTTGGAGAGTTTCAAGAATCAACTGGACATGGCCCTGAGCAGATCATCTATTTAGACGTGCTTTGAGCTGGGGATTGGACTAGTTCCTTTCTGGAGGTCCCTTCGAAACTAGAATTATTCTACTATTCTATGATATCTTTGTCACTAACTGGGAATATCTAATGGATGGACGTACTGTGCTCTCTGGACTAGCTTCTCAGAGTGGTGTACTCGCTACTGCTTTATTTGTGACCATCTGGGGATAGTTCTTCCAGACAAATGACAAGTGGACCACTTGGCAGGCAAGGGGACTTTCATAGAACGTACTTAACCACGTTTCAATTTGCTTGGCTTCTGTTTTTGCGCCCTGTGGTTCAAGGTTTTCTGAAGAATCAGTTCAGACATATCCTGTCGTCCAAAACCTTTTTTTCCTGTGATATCTAATTATGCACCTTTAGGAATTTGGGAATATCCCTTTTAAGTGTCTGGATTCTTGCTACCTTCTTGTAGCCTTTGGTAGGGAGGTGGTGGAATTATTTAACTGTGAGACAGTTTGCCGAATGTTTTGAGCAGTATGACTTCTGGATGACATCCAGTATTAGAATGTACATGGGGAACTTCTAGCCCAAAAAGAGAAGAGATTATTTATCTGAAGTTAGTATTCTTCAAGGTTTGTATGTACATTTATGTGCTTCTTGCCATTCCACTGTCTCTAATATGGTTCTGCACTCAGAATGAATGAGATATAGATATGCAGGGAGGAAAAGGAAGGGTTACAGCACATCATTTAAAGATTCTGCAAAGTCTGACTTTCTGTTCCTGTGTTGGCTGGTATGTCTATTGGTAGAATCTGTGTGGCATACATCTCAAAGAATTGACTGGTTACTGATAAGAATACTGGTACTGATTTCTTCTTTTCCACCAGAATATTAAACCAGTTTGCAAGATGTGAGCTGAGGATAAGAAGGTCAAAGGGTAGCTGGTATAGCTGTAGAAGTTTAATTCTAGTCTATTTCTTGTAGTAATTGGATTTGAGAGACTTGGTATATCTCTGAATGCAGTATAGCTTACACTGTATTAATGATATGAATGTTTTGATACATCGGCTGTTATGTAGTTTGACAAAAAACCTGCCTATTTAGTGTTGTAGAAATAGAGATGTCAGATTAGTATTGGAGTTACATACAAGAATTATTTACAGCTTTCAGAATTTTCAGATTTATATTTCAAGATATGTAGTGGTAAAAGGCTTAAGTTTTGTAAGGCACAGTTGATGCAAATTCTTGCACTTGTGAATCATTTTGTGACAGCATGATATAAGCTCTGTGGCAGCTTTTATATTTCATGAATATTAGCAAGATCTGGCATTCTTTGGTATGGCCTGTAAAATGATTTCAGCTTGTGAAAGCAGTTCCATAAAGCTGCATTTGAAATAACCTCTTTGGTGCAGGTTCCTTGAATTTATGTGCATGATAACTTGGCTTGGGGTTTTTTGCATCCATGATGTTACGACTGGAAATTTTCGAAGACATGCAGAAAATTTTCAACTGTGTACTCCTCCTGATCTGCAAAAAGTATTTTAAAAGCATCATAGATGGATTTTTTACCAAGGTTTTAATTTAAGTTTACTTGACTTGTATTAGTTTGGTCATTCTGTTCCCAACCTGTTTCTCAGGCTCTTCTTGTGATGAAAACTTAGCTTTCTGTTTTATAAATGCATTGCACTCTAAAATATGTTTAACCTTTGAAAATGAACTCAGCAAAACATGAAATTTAATTTGGCTAAGAATGGTTTCTGAGCATGATAATTATTGTATTTAATTGGATGCTAACATTCTTTTAATGCTATACTTTTAAAAATTGTTTCTGCTTCATCAAGCTTGCATAATGCTTGTCTTGCTTTAGAATTGCTACCTGCTTTTCTTTAGTTCCACTAGGCATCAGTTGATTAAAATGGAGTTAAATATAATTTTCTTGTCTTTTTTTATCAGTTTTTGTCAGAATCTTTTGAATCTGTATGCACATCTTCTAAGTTATGTGACATTTGCATTATACTATGACAATGGTCCAAATAAATCTTTTCTACCCAACGATGATGATGTTTCAATATAGCTTTTGTACAGTGACAAGAAAAGAACCTAAATCTGATAATGAGATGAAAATGATTTTTTTTAAATTTCCTTTTTAAGATAAAAAGACTTTCTTTACAAGAACTGAATGCTTAAAATAACTTTGGAATTTTACCAGAATTTAGGTTTGAGAAGGCCACAAGTTTAGAATGTAGGAAAACAAAAAAACAATTCAAAACTTGTAACAGTGTTGCAAATCTGTATAAATGAAGGCTACTCAAATGGGGGAGTAAACACTTTCTTTAAGTCTTGCTAAGGTTTCATGTTCATAATGCCTCTAGTGCTAGATAAGAGATCATGTATTTCTTAGTGTTGTCCCTGTCTCTCTGGAATAGTAGCAGGCTGTCTGCCGTGCTGAGTTGGGCTTGGCAAATGCCGAGTGAATACACAGATTCCAACTTTGGAGAGACATTGTTAAAACTATACACCAGACCTTTGTAAACAGTGAAGGAATACTTCTGTAGACATAGATAATATTTCTACCAGGTGACTTGCTTATTGTTGAGTCATAAGATTCCTATTATCCTTATCTTGCAAAAGACTCAACCCATCCTCTTGCATTTTCTCTCTTTTTACTTCACTGTATTGAAACATTTTGTATTGTTTCAATGGAGTGTTTTTATCTCTGAGGGATTAATTTGTAGTAAATTTTTGAAGTTCAGTTTTAAGAGCAGTATAAGAATGAAGTGAAAGGCCTTTTATCTCTGAAGAACATATTTTTCCGGGTATTTCAACCTTTTTTTTTTATAAAGGTAAGGCTGTTAATCAACTGGTATCCATGCATCACCACTGGAAAACAAAGTAGGTATATAAATCACCCAGCCTGTATTACTAAAAGTAACCAGCTGAATACTTCTAGTGAAGCAACTCAACTTGAAATCTGCATGGTTTCTTTTCTTAACCAATGAAGCATTTTAGTGAGAGACTGAAGTTATCCCTGTTTGATGATGGAGTACTTTTAGATGCACTTCTTGAAATATTTGATGCTTGATTCATTGACTAAGGGTGCTCATTATTACTGAGACTATATTTTCAATATGGTGATTGGAAAACAGGGCATAAATGAGGATGGCATTAGATGGAGAGAAATGAAATACTACACCTGGAAAGGTGTTTGCACTTGTCTTTGTCTGCAACAGAAGAAAAACAACTACTGTTCTGAACTTCTGTTAGGACATGATATGAGCATGCTCCATAGTATTTGTTGAAATGATTTGTTAGTGCATACTTTAGTAGCAGGTTCAGAAACCTGGCAGTAGGCCTGCTGTGAGATATACCACTGGAATGCTTTCTCCAAATTAGTGCAGTTACTCTTGATCTACCCTGTTTTAGTAGGATCAGCACTTTTAAAACTTTGTTTTTTGCTTCATTTTGTTTTTATTTTTGATTACTCTTCTGTTTTCCAAATATTACCATGTATTCCAACAGGAACTAGAGAAAGAAAGAACAGATCTTATTGAAGATGTGACTATGAACAAAAGGAGGATTAAAGACCTAGAAGATAACCTTTTGTTCCGACTTACAAGCACTAAGAGTTCTCTGGCAGATGATGAGAGTCTAATAATTGTATTAAGTAGCACTAAGAAGACTGCTGAAGAAGTTACACAGAAACTACAGACTTCTGCTGAAACTGAAGTACAGATCAACTCAGCCCGTGAAGAGTACAGACCTGGTGAGTGAAGGTAGTGATGCAAGACAAAGACTGGGGCGTGTGGTTAAAGCAGCAATACTTAGAGTAAGAGAAATGGTAGGATGAGATCAGGAAGACCATAGTGGGTAGGAAGGATCCATGTTTTCCTGTATATAAAACGTACTTCGGAAATGTCGTATTGAGTTATGGTGGAGAAAATAGTCAATGTTATGCTTCGTGTGGAATTTATAAAATGGAATGATCTATTCTTTCACTAGACTTCCCATTGCTCTATATACCAGTGTATGTGTCCATCTAGTCTACTGGGTAAGAAACTTGGGAGGGCTTGGTTGTTCTTTCATAGCTGTTAAAATGTTGACACTTTTTATGGACTGTCAATGAGACTAGTCATTAGGGTATTTAGGTAACTGTATGTTTGAGTTCAACATGTTGATATTCACTGACAGGTGAAAATGTGAAAAAAGTGAAAAAAAATGCTCTCTGGGATTCAGTGTTATACCTGCATTTTAGGAAATGTGTAAAGGGGTATGGCAAGTGTACCAGAAATCATTGCAGATTTTTAAAAACTTTTGTATTTAAAACTGAATGACAGCTGAAAGTAGGTTAAATCAGTGCTGGGTGAGTTAAATCCATATAGTTCATTTGGCTTTTATATGACTTGCGTGAAAGTCTGTAAAAATAAATTTGTTTGGTTACTCGGTACTTCAAAACATCTTATTTTTATATGTTCTACTGATGATCTGAATATTGCAGTATACCATCCAGATGGTCTCCAGATATGCTCATATTTACAAACTGGGCTTTACATAGTATGCATTAATTACAGAAAAGATTTTTTTCCCCTTGATGTATAAATGAGGATTAAATTAATGTTTTAATTATTTTTTCTGACCAGTAAAGAATGGAACAACTCAAGGATCTTCAGTTAGCATTAGTGTTAAACTCACTGTACTTGCTGTAGAGAGTTAAAGATTTCTGCTCTGCATTTCTACTTTGAACACAGTCTTCTTTCCTGTCCTTCAGTTGCAACTCGAGGTAGCATCTTATACTTCCTTATTACCGAGATGAGCATGGTCAATGTGATGTATCAGACTTCGCTTCGGCAGTTTTTGGGGCTTTTTGACCGCTCCCTAGCCAGGTAATTTAGCTATCAATAAATATCATTTGTATTTACTGAGTCCTGGAGCTGGTTGTAGTACAGTAAAGATTTGTTCTAAACTAATGTCAGAAAGAAGAGTGTTGCTCGTTACAATCTTGACAGGAATTGTCAGTTAAAATTCCCATAAGCCTTTGTCTGTTTGTTACCGAGGCAAAAAATCTTCAAACTTACAGTCCTGAAAAACTAGGCATTGGGTAATTACAAACCATTATACTATGTTGATTTTCAGCTATGCAGAAAGGCTTGATTAGAAAGGAATTTTTCTTTTTGTTGCTTCAACCTGGAAGTTGTTGCTAGCTTGCTGTCTGATATTCTGTGTTTGTGATCTATAATTTTCTCATGTGTTGAAAGTTCTGAACTGTGGCTTTTTGTCTTTTACATAGTATTCACTTTAAGAAAGCCAACGCAAATTAACAATCAACTGCAGACCTTTCTTTCAACAGGTCCACCAAGAGCCCTATTACTAGCAAGAGGGTTACTAATATTATTGAACATATGACGTATGAAGTGTTCAAATATGCTGCCCGAGGACTCTATGAGGAGCACAAATTTCTTTTCACATTATTACTTACATTGAAGATCGATATACAAAGAAACAGAGTGAACCATGCAGAATTTCTGACACTTATTAAAGGTTGGAACTATGGAACAATTTTAAGCAGAGCACATGTATTATTGTAGAAAACTTGTGAGCTGTAGTTATTTCTCCTAGCCAGCCTGCTGCTTCCATTTGTACATGAGAAGTCAGTCAATTGAATGAATACGTGGTTGTCGTTCTGTTCTGGTGACAGACAACATTGTATGGTAGTTCTAATTTATAGCAGCACACTGAATATTGATAAATATATCTTTGAGAATCATGAGAATTTAAAAGGATAATTGTTAAGTAGTCTTTCAGTTGATATTTATGTCTGCTGCTCCAATACCACCAGGTAAGTGTTTGACTTAGAAAAGTTATTATTATACTAAGCATCTTTTAGTTTATTTGGTAACTGCAGGAGGACAAGCAAGGAACAGAAAGTGATGCTAACAGTTTAAAAGAATATCAGACTCTTAACTGAACTTGACAAGTTCATGGCTTTAGTCTTAACTGAATGCAAGCACTGTGTATTTTCACTTGAAAGCTTGGAGTCATTTTGTATTACAGTTCCAAGATACTTTATTTTACAGGCACCATTTATGGATTATAACTGTTAATTTTTCCATGCTGAATCTTCAGAATATCTTCTCCCAAGAAGCACTTATTTCCAGGCACATTGCACAAAGAAATAGTAACTCCTCAAAAGAGAAACTAGTTAACAAAGATTAAGTTTAAAGTACATCATAAAAAAAAATATTATAAACTGACCAAACTACAAACTCTGCTTCAGCAAAGATTACGTGACTTTTTAAGGTAAAAACCGCTGTAACCTCATGATTAAAAATCTGGATTCTTATACCTTGCATTTTCTTTTTATTTTGTGTTTGATTTCTTTCAGTTTTGGCTGGATTCCAAGGAAGGCAAATATACATACTGGCAAAGTTACTGCATTATCTACAACAACAAAAAAATCAAAGAAAAAAACATTGAAATTAAGCTTCTTCATTTTTTCTCCATAAATTCAGGCTAATTCTTTTACAGTAAAAAATAGATTTAGCTTGTAATGGAGAATTGTTACATATTTTTAAAAAATATGCTTTAAAGCAAGATGAAAAATAAGATCTGAAAATAAATTTTACATGCTACCTAACTCAGAAATTTATGATCACCCTTAGTTAAGTAGTCTTTCTCCAGACTGGGAAGACTTAGTCATGTGAAATAGTCTTGCAGTACCTAGTTTACTTTTTCCAGATAGGTCTTTTTTTTCCTTCGTCTTTCAGGTGTCTCCAACATTACTAATTTTAACTAATTCCTAATTTTCTACAGGTGGTGCTTCCCTAGACCTTAAAGCTTGTCCTCCTAAGCCAGCTAAGTGGATTCTGGATATGACTTGGCTAAACTTGGTGGAGCTCAGTAAGCTTAAGCAATTTTCAGATATTCTTGATGAAGTAAGTAAGAGCTTTTAAAAATTAATCTCTTGCTTGACAGTGATCAACTAGTAGTGATCAAGGCATGTGGTGGGAAACTGATTTATTTTATGGAACAGAATGAAATTGACAGCAGATAACCACAGTTGTGGCCCCAACTGCTGAGCAACCTGCATTGATAAAAAGACTTAAAAAACCCCAGGAAAACAAGAAGAAAGAAGAACATTTCACATAATTATATTTTGTATAATTTTTAATTACTATATAATTATGATACTTGCAGATTGAGTGTTTGAATGTTTCTAGACTGGGACACAACTTGCTATTATCCAGTTCATGTAATGCAACTTGAACCTTCTTCCGGTTATTAGACATTCTTACATCCCTGTTGTGATTTCTTCCACTGTTTTATGATGCTTGTTCCAATATTTCCCTGATTACGTGGAGTAAGAGTTAAGGAAAGGGTGTTCAGTAAATTCAGCACTGCTATGAATAGTCTTAATAGACACGAAGTGTATGGTAGAGAATGAAGTAAACAGCATTAGGTATATGTGAAGACTGCCTTCTGTACAGTCATGTGGGGAGGAGATATGTACCTAGTGTTTTCAAAGCTATGTCTGAGCCTAGCTATCTGTGTTCTGACATTGCTATGCCATTATATCAGTAATGAAAAATACTTAGTAGTAGCTGATTTTTTCAGAATATGTATACTTAAGGGCATTGTTGCATTTTACAATTTTGTCCTTAAAATCTGAAAGCTTTTCCTCTCCTTTTCCAATAGCCTTACTAAATCTGTGTACTAACATAGTTGAACAAATGCCTGTGTGTGGATTACATGTCTCTGACCCTCATTAAAAGTTTGTCACCTAGTGGCAGTTGAAATGTGACCTGTATGTTTGGTGAGATTTACTCCTTTGATGGTATAACTGCAGATTTCCAGAGCAGAGAAACGGTGGAAAATCTGGTTTGATAGTGAGAATCCTGAAGAAGAACTGGTTCCTAGTGGCTATGGTCAATCCCTGGACTGCTTCAGACATCTTCTTCTTATCAGATCTTGGTGTCCTGACAGGACCATAGCTCAGGTATATTTATTTAGCCAACATAGTCTAAGTGTCATTAAAATAATAGTTACAGGATTGCAGTTCAGTATTTTTTTTATTTAATGCTAAACTCCTTTTTGTAATTGACCTACACGTTACATTTTCTGAAATTCTTTTCAGACTATTTCTGCGTTTGTTACAAGGGCAGTGTTAGCAAAATTATTCCAATATATTGATTAAATATTAGACAATGATTTTATGGAGATAGGATTTCATCTGGAAATGTATCTGTTTATTCAGTTCTGTTTTGTCTGTTCAGAAGGTAGTTTTGACCGTCCCTGCTAATACTACTCACTGGAATTGTAGAAGTGTCCACATGTTAGGCTGAAGTAAAATCTTTTCATAAACTCAGTTGTCTGAGAGAAAACAAAACATGAAAATAATTTAACTGGGGAATGATTTATTGCATGGAAAAATTAGGCCCACCTTAGAAAAACCTGTGTTAAGGTCTGTTCAAAATTTTTATTTTACAGCCATTTATTTAGAAAGGAGAGAAAGATAAAATAAAAGTTTATTAAATGGTTAGACCTATGTTAAAGTAAAATCAACTTGTAGGAGCCTATTTTTAGTCTTTGCGTTCTTCTCCAGTGCAAAAGAATAAAATTATGCAATTGCTGACAATTTCAGAGCAATGGTTGGCAATTTACTGAAGTCAGAATGCATCACTCACAGCATGGTATTAATTTTACAGATGCAAACATTTAGGCATTGTGACTGGATTCAGAGAAAGTCAGCAATTATTGGTGTAACAGTAGTCAACAGAAGGTTAAATGACACTGTACAGTGAATCTCTCAGATGTGTGTTACGTTTCTGAAATGGATCATGCAAAATTAGCTCCTCAATTCTGTTAATGGGGGCAAGATACACTTTCATCTTACGATGGTTTTATGGAAACTGTTCACTTATCAAATGCTAGATATCTTTTGTCTCTGAGAAGTAACCCAGAGGTATTAAGGGGAAGATGGGTCTAAGACAAAAGCAAAGTAGTGGGAAAGAATATAAGGAAAGATTGTCTCAAACAGTTTGAAAGAGCCTTTTCTGTTTCTTAGTGAAAAGGAACAATACTCTAATAATTTTTTGAAATAAATAAATAAGGAATAACAGAGATGATCTTCACCCCTTCTTTTGGATCTTCTACTTAGTGACCGTTATTTTCATCATTACTGCTATTAATTTGTTGTTTGTTTAAACATGAGGGTGGGGAAAAAACTAACATCTTTAAAGCGTGTCTTCCGTCCTTTCCTCCTTTCTTCTTTAGAATTTGGAAAGGACAGCTAGATTTTAAGGTTAAGAGTTATGCTATCTTGTCGCATCCTGCCTAAGGTGGTGGTGGTTGGGAAGTGACTCAGGTTCTGTGAATCCCCTTGGGCTAAATTAAGGGGAAACTACAGCAAATGATCATTTTAAGGATTTTATTTATAACAGAGGTAGCTTGGAAAACATGGAATCACACAGAATCACAGAATGTTAGGGGTTGGAAGGGAACTCTGTGGGTCATCTAGTCCAACTGTCAACGTGGGTTCTTATCAAAAATGTCTATAAGAGGGAGAGTAAAAAAAAGAGAAGAAAGAGGGGCAACAAAAAAGGTGTTTCACCACCCTAGGATCCCGCAATGATGACAACAGGCATGGCATCCTCTGGTGGCAGGCCCCCACCAGGCTCTTTGCACTTGTGTCTGTTATCACTCTGTCTCTGCGCTTAGTTGCACCTCTTGGCGACATATGGCAATTCTTCTAGAAAGTCTGTGATCTGCTGTGCAGGTGGCGGGGGGGACGTCTCGATGGGTCTCTTAGGGGGTCTCAAGCCCCTTCCTCAAATTAACTTTATATCATCTCTGTCCATATTTGGGTAAGGCACATCAGAGATGCAGAGACCTGTCCTGTCTTACCTTGTTGCAGTCTTCGGCTGCTGGGCAGACCCCCCACTGCGGGTGGGCGTCATCCCGCCTGTCCCCGCCTGCTCAGGACAGCCCTTTGAAGGGCTGCCCCAGAGCTGAGGCAACTATTTTAGCACAATGTTTGAGGCGTTGACACATATTAACTCTTTCAGTCTCTGGCATATCTTATAGAGATACCATCTTAAAACCCTTTCTAAAGCTTTAGTAAGGTTATTATTGCTCTTATACTGTGATTATAGGTATCATATATAATAATGCATGCACATACATGTAATAGAATAATTATTTTTTAAGTTTTAACTGGACTTATAAGGCTGTAACAAATAACACCTTCAAAACCAGTATGATATATTAATGTGTAAAAATAAATATATTACGTATCTGTATTTCTGATGCAAATTTATAGGAGGCTTTGCTCTTCAGTTTATTTAATGGTTGAATTTACACTGGGAAGAAAACAGTATTAAATGGTCCTGTCACAGCTTAAATTTACCCTTTTTAATATAGGCAAGAAAATACATCATTGACACTATGGGAGAGAAATACGCAGAGGGAGTCATCTTGGACTTGGAGAAGACATGGGAAGAGTCAGATCCACATACTCCTCTCATATGCTTTCTTTCCATGGGCTCTGATCCTACAGACTCAATTATTGCTTTGGGAAAAAGACTTAAGACAGAGACACGTTGTGTTTCCATGGGCCAGGGGCAAGAAATCCATGCTCGTAAACTTCTACAGCAGACAATGGCTTATGTAAGAGACAAAGATCGGAATGTTTTTTGTATGTGTTAAATGCTTAGAAATGACAATCCTGTCATGAAATAAAGTTATTTGGTGGGTAGCTAATGCTGAAGAAAGAACCTATATTTATTTGTATAAATAAATGTCCTAAGCAATAGGACTGTCTTTTCACAATCATTTAATTATCCATAACAAGTTTTGTGACACTGTGCAGACGCAATGTTTTTCTTATAAAATTGAGTTTTTGTTGTAGGTAGTTGACTGATAAACATAGCTGAAATGATTGTTTGGATGGCATAAATAATTAAATATTCTTCAGAAAGCATTTCACAACATTTTTCTCAGTTTTGTACTTTTAGTAATGCAAACATATTTTGTTAAATAAAGATTAATTAAAAATATACTATTGATAGTTACATAACTTTGAGAAAAACAAGGCTGTAGAGCAGAGTATTTTGTATTGCTGTAGTCTGGATTTTGAATTGGGATGGACAATCTTATAGCACAGGCATTTAACAAGTGAAACATGCAAGAATTAAAGAATAAAATTTCCTGGATGAGAAAGAACAGCTGAGATGTTCCAATTTAGCGTGCTTTGCCCATCAGGTGGTAGTACTGCTATGCCTGCTGATGTGAACAGATTGAACTTCTTGTGCTTCTGTGATATGAGCTTGTTCCCTGTCTGTATAACCAGTTTTCCTCTGACTGTTGACTCAGATTCTCATTTGATGACTTCACATTAAGACCTAGTTAGCAGATTAGATGAGAAGAAACTAATTCAAAAGATAGGGCAGCAGAGCTCATTTTGTTTAGTTAAGAGAAATGCAGTTACTTTCTCTCACTGTTTCACATAACCTCCTAATGAAGAGGTATGTGAGATGTCTCTATGAAGTATGGTAATTCATATGAGAAAGCTTGATAGCTATTGATTGAAAGCAATAGGTTAATTAAGTATGTATATTTGATTATTTTACAACCCTGTGACCCTTGTGAGGAACAAGGTTTAGCAGCTTGCTCTGTGGAGCTGCTTCTGAGCTCCCTTATATAAGTCAAGATTTATCAGTGTTTATCAGCACTCTAGTCATGTCCAGATATATTTTAAAAGTGCTGATGAAACCAAACAAGCTAACAATGCCTCCAGAAGGAACAACCCACAGTTTAGCTCACATGAGATTTCTTTGGGAGAAAAAAATATTTTGTTAATTGCATGTGTACCATTACTATGGATATTGGTCTCTGTATGCAAAATGTACATGAAATCAAATGATTAAAGCCTTGGTTTTGTTTTTGGGAACAAGTGGTGCAAAACTGACTGTGGAGGACTTCTTCTTTTAACAGCTCTGATAAGCACTTAAACGTGCTATATTTTGCTGTAGCTTAGATGTGTTGGCTTTGTTCCTAACCTACAGCACAAACAAAGAATGATTTTAATGATTTCAGTTTGTAAATAATGTTGATAACTTTATATTCTGTTGTTTTAAACTAGGGAGGTTGGGCACTTCTGCAAAACTGTCACCTTGGACTTGACTTTTTGGATGAGTTGATGGACACCGTAATAGAGACAGAGACTGTCCATGAAAGCTTTCGACTGTGGATGACAACTGACATTCACAAACAGTTCCCCATCACCCTTCTTCAAATGTCTATTAAGTTTACCAATGAACCACCACAAGGGCTCAGAGCTGGACTAAAGAGAACATATAGTGGTGAGTGCTGGAGTGGTAATGATTTAATGTTAATTTAATTAAATTTAAATTAAATTTATTTAATGTGAATTTAATTTTATGCTCATTTTTGGACTCTCTGGTGTTATCATGTGGCCATATCGTAGCCACTGATAATAGGTGTGAGTTAGTGTGAGGAAGTAATCGCAATGATGCCAGAACATGTCTTGATCCTTGGTTTGAGCTAGAAATTGTGAAAATTAAAAGCAAGAGAAGATCAGCTGAAGCTCAGTTGCCGGAACTAATTGGACAGCAAAACAGGAAATGCTTATTTTTTTCTCAAATGTCTCAGTTGTAATAGTTCAGAGTGTTGAAGTTTTTAATCTTCTTGTGTCTTTTGGCACAAAAGTGACATGCTAATCTTTGTTAACTATTAAGTGCCATTTACATTGCATAAAATAAAGGCCAAAGTCTGTGCAAAAAAGCAACTTAATGTGAATTCAGCTATTAGTAAATTGTGGAGGTTTTTTTTTTCCCTGAAGTTTACACTTTGAGCAACTTAACAACGTGCTGTAAACTGTCTCTGTCGCAGAACACTTTGTAGGACAATAATTTTCTCTAGAGAGAGGCAAAAAGCCAACTGACTATCTCTAGGACTGATGCTTTAACTGATTTGAAGTAGTTTTGAAGAATACTATTACTGTGTTTTTTATAAAGCCCACTTACAATCAATAGGTGTCAGCCAGGATTTACTAGATGTCAGTGACATGGCACAATGGAAACCAATGTTGTATGCTGTAGCCTTTCTACACTCTACAGTTCAAGAAAGACGCAAGTTTGGATCTCTGGGTTGGAATATACCCTATGAGTTTAATCAAGCTGATTTCAATGCTACTGTGCAGTTCATTCAAAACCACTTGGATGGCATGGATGCCAAGAAGGTAATTAATGTTTTTGTGGGGAAGGTGTATTGTGGTGATGGATCTTTCTTGTAGTGGAATGTATATACATGGTTCCCAGTAACTGAAACACAAACAAGATTTTAAATTATTCTTTTGTTTCTCTCACAAACGTTCAACATTGCAGGCATACGTGTCTGTATACCCCCAGTCTTCAATTAGACTTTTAATCCTGTGCATGTTAAATTTCTATATTAACCTGTACATTAAAAAAAAAGTAACCCTCCTAGCCATCTTCCCCAAAAACTTCTGAAATATAAACCTTAGAAGTAAAGACCTTCTTTTCAATGCTCATTAAGTTAGATAGTTAAAAATAGATCACTTTTTAAAAAATATTATTTTGTTTAAATCTGTTTTGAGTAAAAATAATAAGATTTGGCTCCTCCAACCTATCTTGGCAGCATAAAGAAATTGAAAGTGGCTTTAAATGACTGTGTAAGAATTTCTTTTGCATTCCTCACTTTTGTGTGGTCAGTTGTCACACAGAAGTCTGTGGCACATCACTTTGTGATTGGCGTTTTAAGTGAAGCTGAAAGCATAATTAGAATTTAGCTGTATCCCTCTTGCTCAGATGCCAGAATACCATCTTGAATTAGTTGTCAGTGAATTCAATTTTGAGAAATCCTTGAAGGTGTTCTGGGAATGCAGAGTTAAAGGAAAAAAGAGTAGTAAGAAAGTTACTTACTTCCAAGAGGGACAGAGATGCAGCACTTGGTATATCAGCTGTTCTGACCAAGGGAGATGTAAATAGATGAGAAGAGTATTAGCTAAAAGTCAGTGTTTTCTATTTGGTTTTAGGGAATCTCCTGGAGTACTGTTTGTTATATGATAGGTGAGATCCAGTATGGTGGCCGTGTGACGGATGACTATGACAAAAGGCTCATGAACACCTTTGTAAAGTTTTGGTTCAGTGAAAATATGTTCAGTCAGGAATTCAGCTTCTACAAAGGATACGGCATACCGAAATGCACTGTGGTGGATCAATACCTGCAGTACATACAGGTTGGTAAATGAAAGCTTTTCAACACACACACACAAAAAAAAGCAATTTACTTGTTTCTTGCAAGTTCCCAAGTCCCCATATTTTGACTTTTCTTGAGTACCTATATTTTGTCTTTTATTCACAGATTCCTTATTGCTTCTAAGAGTTTGCGTATCTATTGGTGACAATTAATTGTTGTCATCAATGTTATCATTGTCATGACAGAGATCTTTTCTTTTTCATGTGATTTGCTGGAAGGACATACATGAAGGCATGCAGTTATTAAACAGGGCAAAGAATGGAGTCCAGACATTGGGTACAACATTACAGAAATAAAAAGTGTTGATATATGAAACTACAAGCTGACTATTAAAATAGCATATAGAGGTTAAAACTGAATTTGTTGTTAACCTTGGTGTGATTTGGGCTGTAACATGATCACAGCAAGTTATTTGCCCTAGAACTGTTTGAAGACATCTAACCTCTTATTTTACAATGTAAGGGTTTTTTTTGAGGTTTGTTATATGGTTTTGTTGTGTGTGGTGGGTTTTTTTGATAATTAGCTTATAAATCCATCTCCACTTGTGCTCTTTTGATATTTTACTATGTAGAGTCTTCCTGCTTATGACACACCAGAGGTGTTTGGTTTGCACCCCAATGCAGATATCACTTACCAAAGTAAACTTTCCAAAGACGTATGGGACATCATCCTCAGTATTCAGCCTAAAGATAGCTCTGGTGGAGGAGGTGAAACCCGAGAGTTTGTGTGGATAAAAAAAAAGTATTAATTTTTCTAAAAGCATGTCTGAGTTCATTCCTACAGGCAATACTTCAAAAATAAATTTTAAAGAAGACTCTTAACATTTATAATGAAGTCACTAGATGTGCACTGAAGTGCTTTTGTAAGAGCTTTTTCAAAATATTAAACCACTTAATGATGAAGCTGTCATTTGCACTAGGGGGGAGGTAGGACCATCAGCTTTTAACTAAGGTTGTTGACATTGTAGAGAACTGAGGTCATGTTGCAAATGTAGTCGTGCTTCTAAAAATATTACAGCTTTAGCATATGTATTACTTTGGAATTCAGCTTAGATCATGAAGATATTTTTAGGTTGCTTTCTTCTTCAGTGAAGAGAATGCTGAAAAGCTTGTCAAATGATAGCTTTCATTGATTGAAGTCTAGTGTTAGTATCTCAAAATCTATATTAAAACAAAATAGCTTATGTAATGGTAATGGGCACCTACTGCCTTGCAGCCATTTGTTTTCTGAAAGAGCAACTTCTGTTTATGTGGAAGATGGAATTACTTTCAAGGTGATAGGGTTTGCTTACAGTTAGAAAACATTTACTGATAACTACATATATAGACACTCCAATCAACTTTATTCTCTGTCCCCATCCTGGAGACAAGAGTTTGAGTGTTTGGACAATTTGTGTTGTTTATGGGTCTTTCCATAGTTCTTAATTGTCCTTTAGGGCCCTAGAATTTTAGGATACTGACATTATAGCTCTTTCCAGGTGACGCTGGTTATGAACTTCAAGTAAATTAGAGGAAAATGCCTGTAAAATAGTTAAGGTTCCTATATTTCCTTGGTCAAGGGATGCAGAACTTTTGCATTTCATTTTATTTGCCAAAACTTAAAAACAAGTAAGATTAGTTATGTCCATAATAAAGAATTTACAACACTTTTGTTATGAAATGGCTGTGAATCACCCCATTGTTTCATCAGAAAGAAGTCCACACCCATGTTTGTACAGATTCCCAAAGTAGCCACCGTGCTTATGTACGCAGTAAGATGTTTTATTAATTACATGACTGGCCTGCCATCTCCTCCTTCAGGAGAGTTGAATCTCTTATCCTTAGTCTTCTGCCATTTTACTTACTATTTAATGGAACTTGGCATGAGGACCTGATACAAGGCTAGGTGGCTTATGAATGCCAAATTTCTCCTGCCAGGTCGCTGAGCGATGAGAAGGAGCAAGGAGACTTGTACAATCTAACTCCCTTTTTTCTGTTTTTACAGTAATAAATTTTCCTTTATGTGGGGTATGCTCATGAGTAAAGACTCTTTTCAAGTATCCATGTCTTACATCTCTTGGTTTATGTTTTCTGTAGCCCATTTTGTATTATGGAATCTTCCTTCCCTCAGATGGCATAATTACAACAATACATTTTATCTGAACAGATGAGTTAATCAGTATTTAAAATTCAGATATTTTATCTAGCAGTCTTCCAAAAGATTGCACTTGATGATGTTTCTGACCTACTGTCTTTCTAGAAACCTGAGCTTTATGAGTTTCTGAAAGGCAGAATCAGGTTTCTGAGATCTGCAAAGGATTGCAATTTTTTGAGTTTCTTAAAAGGGTACTGCTTTAGTGATGGGCTAAATCTCCTGGTAGTTCTTAATCCAACTGTCTTCAGATTCTATTCGCCATCTCCAGTGATAGATATGTGGCTTAATAAAGACACACATAATATATAGTGTCATTGTATAGGTACAATTAGCCTTTTTAAATTTACAAGAGCTCTTTTTGAACAGATCAGTTTTGATAAAAAATGACAAATTGAAATTTAGTTTGTATTAATGAAAGTGAATGTGGATCACTAAACTTTTTCACATAGTGAAAACTATGGAGTTTCCTTTTTGTGTAGCAAAATACTGACAAACTTAGAAAGGGAATGAATATTACTAAGTACAGGACTGTTACCCTGTATAGGATTCAGTACCTGTTATATGTAATTTTTTTACGTATTTCGCAATAGGACCATATTGACTACAAAATTTCTAGTTATGTTCATACAGTTGGTGTTAATTTGTTAGCTTCAAATTTTTGATTAAAAATGTATCAGCAAGTTTTATCAGAATACAAGACTACCAGGCATTGTGATAATTTCCAAGCATTGCTGATAAATAGTGCTATTATGCTGAGGCAAAGCAACTGGGGCAATCACTTTTGATTGGTTTACGCAAAGTGAACCTTGGGAACTGTCTGTTGGAATTAAAGCTGGAATGCTTGAAATGGAGTATGGCCTACACGCTGTTTAAATAACATTAGCTCATAGAATGATACACAGAGTAATTCATGAGTTAGACTGAAGACGTAACCAGTCTCAGCATCATAGATTTCTCTTGGAACAAATCCTGTATTTCTGTCTTGTGCAGGATTCAAGAAAGATGCCAAACTGACCATTTAACTTCCTGAATAGAAGTATTATGTCTTAATAATTGTATGGGGCCCTAACCTTGACATAAAGCCACCTTTGCTTTTTACTTCTGTTGAAGGATCTTTGGTTTTCTACCTACAGGTAAAAGAGAAATTAAAGAACATGGGACCTTTTCTGCCTATGAACATATTTTTGCGACAGGAGATTGAACAAATGCAGAGAGTTATTTCCTTAGTGAGAAGCACTCTGACTGATGTAAAACTTGCCATTGATGGGACAATAGTTATGAGTGAAAATCTGAGGGATGCTTTAGACTGCATGTATGATGGAAGGATTCCTGCTAGCTGGAAAAAAGTAGGTGTACATCACCATTATTCCTGTAGAGCTAGGCTAAACTGCTAGACATACAGTAAATACTTTTTTTTCCAAACACAAGTGTTAACCAGGACTGTGCAACTGCTGGAGTAGATTTTGGGCTAAACACAGTCAAAACAAACCCTCTTTCATTTATAAAAATAGGAATGAGTGTGGGAGATTCAGGTATTTCCCATTTTAACAGCCTGTTGCATATTGGCAGGATAAAAAGCTAGATAAAGAGAATAATTTAAAATGTGATAGTGACGATGGATTTTAAAAGATAGCACCCACACTACTTCACATAGCCCAAGTGCAATTTTCCTTAGTTTTTTTCAGAGGAAGCAGAATCATTTTGGCAGAAATCCTGTTATCTCTATGCATTGGCCTTGGCTTTAGAAAGACGTGTATACAATATTTATCCCTAGTTTACACATATATTGAATTTTGCAAAAATGTCATAAAATGGACAATTACTATAGGAAGCTTTAAGCATGTCTAAATGAAATGGTAGGGATGAGTTTCAACAGAGCAAGAATTTGCTTCAGGTTTCAGTGGGATGCAACACTTATCTATCAGCTTAAAAGTTAAGACGTGAATAATGAGCTTTAGATACGCTTTGCTAATATTGTGTTGTTTAGTACCTTGTGAGGAATTACCTTTTCTTGATGGGAATATAGTGATTTAAAACTACTGAATAAAATAACAAAATGAACATGCTGTTTGCTCTCTTTAGGCATCTTGGGCTTCTAGTACACTTGGTTTCTGGTTTACTGAGCTTCTAGAAAGAAACCATCAGTTTTACAGCTGGATTTTTGAAAGCCGACCAAATTGCTTCTGGATGACAGGATTTTTTAATCCTCAAGGATTTTTAACTGCAGTGAGGCAGGTAAATTGTGTTTAAAGTCTTGCTCTGCTTATTCTTTAATATACTTTTTTTTTAAAAAATATATATTGTGTGTTGAAGCCTGAGTTATACGCCTGGCTCTGTCATGTCTGAAAGGAAAATATGTGACTGCATAGCTGTCTAACGTTTCCTAAGTAAGGCATTCTTCCTCTGCACATACTTTTTCAGTATGTCAACCACTAACCAGCACAAGAAGGACATGAACCTGTTGGAGCAGGTCCAGAGGAGGGCAACAGAAATGATCAGAGGGATGGAGCACCTCTCCTATGAGGACAGGCTGAGAGAGTTGGGGTTGTTTAGCCTGCAGAAGAGAAGGCTCTGGGGAGACCTTGTAGCAGCCCTTCAGTACCTGAAGGGGGCCTACAGAAAAGATGGAGACAATCATATTAGCAGGGCATGTTGTGACAGGGCAACGAGTAATGGCTTGAAACTGAATGAGGGTAGATTCAGAGTAGATATAAGGAAGAAATTTTTTTACAGTAAGGGTGGTGATATACTGGAATGGGTTGCCCGGAGGGGTAGTGGAGGCCCCCATCCCTGGAAACATTCAAGGTCAGGTTGGAAAAAGGTTAGGGGAAAAAGGATTCTTGGCCACAAGCTGGTGGGGCTCATTGAGAGGGCTTTAAACTAGGTTCGAAGGGGGAAGGGGTCATAGCCCAGCTCACTAGGGATGAGCCCAGGCTTGGCGTGTCAGGGTCAGGGATGAGATTGACAGCCCAGCTCAAGTGTGTCTATACCAACGCACGTAGCATGGGCAATAAACAGAAGGAGCTGGAAGCCATTGTACAGCAGGATGGCTACGACTTGGTCGCCATCACAGAAAAGTGGTGGGACAACTCGCATGACTGGCATGCTGTCATGGATGACTAAAGACTCTTTAGGAAAGACAGGCCAACAAGGAGAGGTGGTGGAGTTGCTCTATATGTGAAGGAGCAACTGGAATGCATTGAGCTCGGCCTGGGGGCAAATGAGGAACGAGTTGAGAGCTTATGGGTTAGAATTAAGGGACAGGCTCGTAAGGGTGACATTACGGTGGGTGTGTACTACAGGCCACCTGACCAGGAGGAGGAGGTTGATGAGGCCTTCTACAGGCAGCTGCAAGCAGCCTCAC